ATTCAGTCAAGGTACTGATGCCTTTTAAGACAATTAATTCCCATTCCTCCGTATCTTAAGTGATTGTAAATTAGGGATCAACATAGTTACTGTGCTGTAAAGCGTAGCAAACCCAGAATGTTATCTTTCATGAGAAAGGAGACTCAGAACCAGTGTTGTATCCTCCTTTGTAAATACATCAATGCTACAGAATTCTGACTCAGATTTTGGGGGTCTTTTCTAAAGGTTTTGATTCAGTGTTTGATAAGGATAAGGATCAGCTGTTTAATTCAGCTTGTGTTGTAATTTTAAAACCTAAATCTCCACTGTGAGAGATGAAGTTGTGTTTAGTCCATGAGCAAATGTCCAGTTGTTTTTTTGTCATGTCCTTCATTGAATCTGATTTCCTATTCTAAAGTGATAATAATTATTCAAGGGGGTGATTCTGAAATGTTGCCAATTTTTGTTCAACACAGGAGGCTAATGGGTGGATAGTAAAAAGAAAGAGAAGATGATTCATGCCACTTATTTGGTTGCTTTATCTTTTATTATTTAGCAACCCAGATCAGTCAGAGTTACTGGAAGTTGCACTAGGCAGTCTATAACTCATTCAGGGTTATAGGGGTCATAGTAATACATTTCAGCTTTTCGATTCTAGGCCATGATCTACAAGGGCTAGCATATAAGAACTACGCAATTTTTATTTCGTTCAGAATTTTCTTGACACATTAACTTTCATGCTGCTCTAAATAAACTCCTTAAATATCATTCATATATGACTGTGTGTAACAAGCTCATTTGGATAGTCATGTAAAATTCTCCATTCCTATGAGTTTGGAGTTAATCAATTCCAAAGAGATTTTGTTTTATGCATTAGGTAAGAACAGTTAGTAGTTGCCAATTCTGAAATTTTCAGTGGAGCAGTATTGAACATGTTGCCTGCAACTGCAGCATGAAAATGAAATAAAGGTAAATGGAGATGTATTTGCAAAGGATATTAAAATGAATCCATTAGGGGTCAAAGCAATCACTAAATTGATTAAACTAGACTACTTAAATAGATTTTTCTGAATCAATAATTATTATGGAGTCATAAAATATGTATGTGTTCTTACGTGTAATTGAACCACTGTCTTGCAATTTATACCAATGTGCATCAAAAAAACACTCAAAGAATTCTAAAAAGAAAGGCTTTTTCTCCGTGTTCCAGCTTATAGCTACATGAGGTTTTCTCCATCAGAAGTATGATGCTGCTATTTTTTTTTAAGAAATAAAGATTATATTCTACTTCCTGTATTCTTGAAATGTTGAACGTCAAGTACCATAGAAGAAATTACTTTTTCTACTGGTTTTTTTTTTAAACTTTGGGAATCATATTAAAATTGTAATTGAAGGTATATCGGAGCCACAAGAAGAGAGGCTTTCTAGAGAATGAAAGAATGCAACATATTCTGCACCCTAAACATGCTTCTATACATTCAAACTTTTTGTCTCTAACTTTTTTTTCCCACCAAAAGCCTTCTGGGTGGCTTTTGAATTTCTGGTTCATGCTGGTTAAGTCAAAACCAAATTAATGCAATGCCCTACATTTTTGGTTTTTTTTTTTTTTTTTTTTTTGAGCCGTACTTGGAACATCATAGGAATTGCCATAATAGAGATAAATAAAAATGAGAATTTTCCGTATTGAAAAAGTTTTCATTGTGTCTACAGCAAGGTATGTGCAAACCATAAAAATTATCTGAGAAGTGACCAGGCTGGTTACTTGTCAGTATTATGTCTTCAGCATAAACAGTCCAAGAAGATGTAGTCAGATTAGAACTGAAGCATGTATTACAGCAATAACCTAAATATGGTTTTATCTGAAAGAATAAGATATACTGTATATGGTTTATATGTGAAGTTTCATATTTTAAAGTTCCTTAATTTAAAATGCACATGCCAATTTTCTTCAACTTTTCCTTAGATCATTTTTATTTTTGTTTTTCTTCTTCTTCTCTTTTTTCATCCCTTTTTTCATTTTTTTCCACTCTACAATCTCATTTTATTAATATTCTCATTTACTGTTTTTCCAATATTATATAACTTCTGTGTGTGTATAAACAAGCAAAAATACTTCTATCACAGTGCCTGTAAATGTCCTCATCGGCTAGTGTTCTGTCTCACAAATTCAGGACAAGAGGTTTCAGTGCTGTAATTTAAAAAAAAAAAAAAAAAAAAAAGCAACTTTTGCTTTTTCCAAATGAGAAGACAAAGTGCTTGTCTGGCAATTGCAGAACGTTATCATTTGAGTTCCAGTATTTGGAGCATAATTTTCTAATGCAAACCTAACATAAAAAGAATAGAATAGAGTACAAAGTGTATCATTCTGTCTTATTATCTCTGTATAACAATTGTATAAGAAACTGATAGTTGAGTTTCTGACATGTGAATGACCCAGTACCTGAATTATACACATTCTCCTCTAAAAGGCCTGTTGATTTGCATGTTGACAATAAAGTAAATAATTATTTCCTGCTGTAGATTAAAACTGAGTTAGAGAGCAGCAAAGCTGCATTTCACAGTGGAAATACACCTGGGGCGCTCCAAGGTCTCACTGAAGTGAGTTGTAGACTAATATTTAATAAGAATATTAGCTTTTTTAAAAAAATAAAATACATTTCACAGTGGCACTGAAGAGGTGGGATCTGTTTCATTTATCCACCTGGCTGTGTTGACGGACTGAATTAGTTGCCTCCAGTCAAATTCCATTAAATTATCTTATACCTTCAAATGTTAGTGCCGTGTTGGAAATTAGTAGGCACATCCTCTTGGAATCCTTCAGCAAAGTGGCTAAAGAATGACCTAATACTGTGAGGATCTGTAAGAGGCAGACTCTGCAGGACAAGGAGCAAACATTCTGGTAGAACTCTTCCAATTATTGGTTTATGTGTGCTGTGTACTCTCTCTGTCTATGCAGAAATCCAAAATCTCCAGATGTTAAGCTTTCATGTTCTGTGAAATTAAATTATGCTTATTGCATACAAGCCATAAGCAAATGTTGAAGTTTTATGTTTAGGTTTTGTGTTATTCAACACCTAAATATTAACAAATATTTTTGAATCTTTGCTTCTAAGTAGTGCTTAGGTACCATGATGAATGGCCCTATTTAAAATACAGAGATATACAAAGTCCAGAGAGGCATTATCCCAGATTCTCACCATTTATCCAGTCCTAAAGTGCTTTTCTGTTTGCAGAATGAATTCCACTGAATAACATTGATTTTCTATTTCAATAAAGGGAACTGTCATCTGAAAGGTGGATGAACTATTAAGGCTCTACTAGCTAATTAGATAGATAGATAGGTAGATATCCAGATAAATACTGTGCAAATAAAACCCCCAATATTGTCTTATACAGGCTGTATTTAATTTTGAAAACTAAACAACTGTGGGTTTAATTTTATTTATGTGGAAAATAAAATAAAATTCTTTTTAGATTTTAAGAACCATGGAAAAATCAATTTTTATAATGTTACTATATTCTGTATAACTGTTGATTGCATGTGAAAACACACTATCCATTTTATGCCCCAGTAATTCTGAAACACCTGAACTCTTCTCCCTCCACACACCACCTGAATATTCACAAGACTAAGCATCCCTTTAGGGCTGGGAATGTATTTGCCAATTTCAGCCTGGAAGGGATTGTACCTAGCATCATAAAGCCCTGATGATAATTTTGTAACGGAAAGCCTGAAATAACCTCAAGTACCACCTCGTTAATGTGATTCTATAATACTTAAGCAGTCTAATTTGAAGCTAAAAGTCAGTTATCAAGGAATACATTTGTAGAGCTAATATTGTTAACCTCTTAATTTTCTTCTTCTCTTGGATTTGAATTACAGTTTCCTTTCATATAAGATCCACTGATGAGACACCTAATGGTTTTCTACTTTAATTTTTCTGTTCTGATTGCTTTTACAGCTGTCCCCCATTGTCTTTATACTTAAAACCCTTGCAGAGTCCTTGCAGTGAAATTGTTATGCAGATCAAAGTACAGTCCTGATGTCCAAACTCTTCCAACTACATTAGCCTCTTCATAAATTGATTAGGAAGAGCATTGCAACAGGAAATGGCCGTCAATATGGCTTACATTAAGAACAGAGCTAGTGCTCCAAATGTGTTGTTTGTCATCTCTCTGAGTGTGCGTAACTGCTTGCAGCCCTGTCAGTTCCTCAAAAGTAGTTTGAGTCTTACCAGGCACTGACAGCAATTCCATGGAGTCTTAGATTTCACAGCAAAGCTGAAACTGATTTCCGGATAATAGTTGAGTCAGAAAACAGAGAGAAAATGAGAATGAGTAAACAAAACTCCAAACTGTCTATTATTAGATTGGATACTTATTTCTTCTGTCTTTCTATATCTGTTACAGATATAATAGTGATGTGGTTTGGGGGTTTGGGGTTTTTTTAGAAGGAAAAATATAATTAAGAATTCAGAATGGGGATTATTCTTTCAAGGAAAAGAAATCAAGTGCTATACTGCATTATTCTCATTTGTGTGGAAACAATGAGGTGTTTTAATATGTGAATCTCCTTAATGGGTCTATCTTGAAATTGTGCCTGTATAGGGGATAAAATCTCTGTTATTGCTTCATTAGCCTGAATCTATCAGTTATGTTTCCCAAAGCAATTTGCAGCATCCTCTTCCTTTCATTGTCATTTTAAAATTTTCTCTGAAGACACGACAATGTCCTTACTTGTGAATTTCAGGGTATAAGCCAGTACATTCAATAATCCCCGTTAAGAAACTTAATCAGAATCTGGCTGACAAATGATACAATCAATGCCACACAATTAATCCATAGTACAACTACATAATATACAGGAGATTACATTTTCTGTGCCAGTTGATGTCCTATAAATTCCTGCTTTACTTGTAATGTATTATTAAACATTTTTGTTATTGCTGTACTGTTGTCATGGTAAGATACTTTAAAGTATGAAACACAATTTTATTTGATTTTGTGATTTCTCTTACTAGTGGCTAGCATTCAGAAGCTTCCTGCTGCATCTGTTTTAACTGACATCAATTTCCCCATGAAAGGAAGAAAAGGAATGGTTGATTGGGCACGAAACTCAGAAGACAGGGTTGTCATTCCAAAAAATATCTTCACCCCTATGTCAACAGGTAAAGAACCAGCATGTTAATTTTGTGTTAGCTTTAACAAGGGAACTCAGAATCTTTGTTTCATAGGACCACTGTACAATATAGAAGTAGTTATTTTATACATCTTCAAAAGAAATCCAGTACACACAACTTATCCCAGAGGAAAATGATGGGGCTTAATTTGATCATCCTGAATTAAAAATGCTATAGAAATCCTAGGCATTATTTTCTAGACTGAAGAGCCACTGCTTAGCTACTGTGCATTGGACTGTACCTGTGATGGTATGAGGTGACATAAAGTCCTGCTCTGCTGAAGCCCCTGAAGCTGCTCCAGTCCAACAGACTGGGCCATTCCAGCGGGTCATCTAACTTTTACCAAAGAATGCTCAGCAGGCAAATTACCCTGGGTTCAGATATAATTTACAAATACCATTGCAGTGCAGATCTCTGACATTAGAGAATTTAGTCACTAGGCATCAAACACTAAAGACAGTCTTTGAGGATACTTAATTATAAAGGTAAATGAACCAGCATGGATGTCAGTACACAATGATGGATTTTTTGAAAATGTGAATTTCAGTGGTTTAAATCTTTTGATATATTACTGACAGTGCTACATCTTTATGACAGACTTCCAGGATATAATTCAAAACGATGATGGTTTATTTAAAATAAAATTTCTACTATAAAGATAAATGGTATTCACAGAGTTTTATGTTGATGAAAGAGAGTTTAAAAATCTTTTTTTTCCTTACTCTTTTCAGAACTAGATGAATCAACTGTATTTGTACTTGGAGCAGTGCTATATAAAAATTTAGAACTCATTTTGCCCACTTTGAGGTAAGAAATTTCATAAATACAGTATGACTTAGAGTATTTTGGGATCATAACTATATGTCAGGATAAAAGCAGACAAACAAAACTGTTTGCATATTGGTATTGTTGTATTTTTTTTCCTGTTATTTAAAATATATATGTGTATATTTGTCTTTATTTCATGCTTAGTCATTTGCAGGATGGAAATAGTCTTTTTATCAAATTGGCTTAATTTATATTTTATGTAATCTATATTAAGCTTTATTACAGAAATGTTCAATTAGAAGTATGCACACTGATGTGCATTTATTCTTAGGCCACTTATACTTGTGCTTCAAATTGCTGTTTGTCCAGTTAGTACAAGTGATCTAGTAGACATCATAACCTGATGTGCTAAGATTGCCTGCTCTACTTCTATAGAAGTCTTTAGTAGTAGTTTTCCAAGCACTTTTTCAGTGCAAGTTGTATTCAGAAGTGACAGCAAAGCTATAGAGAGGATCCATTTTAGAAACAAGACGTGCATGTGCCTGAACAGCTGTGGTGTGTCAGTTATGAAGGCCATACACATGCATAAAGAAATAGGAGGGTTTCTTGTTTCATTTTTTCCTTTCTGTAATTGATAACAGACATTTTGGAAGTAAACATTTCCTCCCCCCCTTCTCAAATTACTGGTTAAGATCATTTCATGGTCCACTAACACTATCTTATTTCACATGATCCTGTGCACCACTGGTCTACTAATGTCCTTTTATATTAAAAGAAATGGGTACAGATTGTGTCACAAATAGCTGTTAATGAATTCACAATAATTAGAAAGGATAGTAATTAGGAAGACACCAGATAACCTTTCCCTACTCTATTTAAACAAAATTTCAGGATTTGAAACAAAGGATGGAAAAACAACAGGGTTTTTTGCCAAAATCCATTTGAAAACCAAAAAAACCCACAGTCCTGAGGGAAAAAAAAAACAAAAAACAAAACAACCCACACTTCCCAGTAAAGTTGCAATGCACTGTGCAATGAGTAGCCGCACGGTTGGGGACAGAACTCTCTCTGAGGTAGAGCACAATTTGAATAGTGATGTCATGGTACGACACCTGGGGAGTCCTGGCGAGAGCTGTCTATGCTTAAGGCATGGTATAAATTCCACTTCTGAAATGTCACTAAGCACTTTCCATTTGTTGTGCCAGTTCCTGAAATGAACTGGGAAGGAAGAGATGTTTGTGACAGATATTTTTTCTTCTTTTCTCCCATATTCAAAGAAACAGAGTGAAATGGCTATTGCAGTCTGTTCTTTTTGGCAGACCTTAGAGACAATCTGCCCAACCCAGGAAAGCATCGAGGTGGCCATGTACATTTCAGACCTTTATACTGTAAATCACAATCTCTGATCATGCCTTTTCAGCTTTTGTAGGTCAATAGTTTTAACTTACAGAAAACAAGTGTGAACCCTGAATGCTGTATATTTACATATATGAAGTCTTTCAGGGCTTTTGTTTCATCCATTAGAAAAGTGAGGTTTATAGACCTTACCAGACCTCCCCTAGAATCAATAGCATCCCAAGTAGCAGGAATAGTGGCAGAATAGGGACATGAAAGTGTGGAAACTTAAGTGATATCGACTATGAGAAAGTGCATCTCAGTTCCCAAATTTTTTGCTTTTATCTGTTCTACTTTCAGCTGGGTACTGATTTACACAGCAAATTTGACCATTTCTATGTACAATTCAGTTCATAGAGAGGTTTTGTGTACTTCTACAAGTAAAATGGTCTAATAATCTATGTATATCTATTCATAAATGAAGTATTTAGAAATTCAAATATGAAGGTATCCCACTTTGCTTCTGAATATGTTCAGTATTATTTGAATACAATTCTCAGCTGCCCAAGAAAAGGAAATGAGCAATATTACTTTCTCTTATGTACGTGAATAAGGTATAAAAGTCATTATTAATCTGTGATATAAAAATATAGCATATATTCCCTGGAACCCCTAGTCTCTTCTTTGTTCAGAGTACAGCGCCTCAGTACTTCTCTGCACTTCTTTAATATTTATAACAAAATTATACTGAAATTTTTACAGCTCACATCTCTTACTTCATCAGGACGTGTATCACACTGGGTTTCTTTGCCCCTGGCAGTCATATTCAAAATTTGATCTCATGACCTTAAAATAGTACCTCAGAAATGACACAATTTCAAACTGTTTTCATAGAATCATAGACTCATTGAACAGTTTGGTTTGGAAGGTACCTTCAAAGATCATCTAGTCCAATCCCTCTTCCATAGGCAGAGACACCTTCCATTAGATCAGGATGCTTAAAGCCCTGTAGAACCTGACCTTGAACACTTCCAGAGACGGGAAGCTTCTCAGAGCTTCTCTGGGCAACTTGTTCCAGTATCTTACCACCCTCATGGTAAAAATTTTCTTCTTTATGTCTAATCTAAATCTACCCTCTTTCAGTTTAAACCGTTGCACCTTTTCCTGTCACTGCAGGCCTTGGTAAAATAATATCCCTGTGTCTTTCTTATAAGCCCCCTTTCAGCCTGCAGTAAGTTCTTTCTCGAGCTTTCTCATATCCAGGCTGAACAACCCCAACTCTCTCAGCCTTTCTTCACAGAAGAGGACTTCCAGCCCTCTGATCACTTTCATGGCCCTCCTCTGGATATGCTTTAACAGGTCCATGTCTTTCTTGTACTGGGGACCCCACAGCTGTATGCCATACCCCAGGTGGGGTCTCACAAGAGCAGCGTAGAGGGGGAGAGTCATCTCCTTCGACCTGATGGCCACGCTTCTTTTTATGCAGCCCAGGATACTGTTGGCTTTCTGAACTGCAAGCACACATTGTCAGCTTATGTACAATTTTTCATCCACCATCCTTCTGCACAGGGTTGCTCTCAATCCCTTCATCTCCCAGCCTGTACTGATAATGAGGATTGTTTCAATCCATGTGCAGGACCCTGCACTTGGACTTCTTGAACTTCATGATGTTCACATGGGCCCACTTCTCAAGCCTGTCAAGGTCCCTCTGGATGGCATCCTTTCCTTCTAGCATATCTACTACATCACTGAGCTTGGTGTCATCTGCAGACTTGCTGAGGGTGCACTCAATCCCACTGTCTATGTCATTGATGAAGATATTAAATACTCTTGAATGCATTTTGATGCATCCAAGCCATTTTAATGTTCATTCAAATGGAATTCTGAATTGGAAAAAAAGCTGCAACTGTGGTTAGTGCTGAATTTGTTGAGCCATATGTTAGAACTGCAATGCAGGTTTTAAAGGAATCTTTATTATGGGGTGGTTTATCATTTTACATGCTTTCAGGTACATGAATGAAGTGAAGGTTTCCATACATCCCATTACATTAGGAAAAGGTTTATTTTTGTTTGTTTAGATTTTGCAATGAAAGACTGTCATTTTACATGGGTTTTTATTAATTACTATTTGTACTAATCTTACTTAACTTTTATAAGCGTTATCATAATAACCATTTTAGTGCTGAACATAATGAAATTTTTAACTGCAATAGCACTGTCTGTGGAGCAAACATGGCAAAATGTGAGGGGAGGCAACATCATCTAGTTTTTATACACCTAGAAATGTGATAGCTACGTAAAATGTATGAATCAAAAAAAACCTTCTGGATAAGCATCTTCTGTGATTCTGTTCTAAATAAAATGACAGTTGACCAAATATGCTAATAGTGGGAATAAAGATAAACAAGACAATAAACCAAGGTAAAATAGGTAAAATGGGCTCATGTTTGAGTTCAAAGGCCACATCATTTGTATCTTGACAACCTGATAAAAGAGGTGATTTCTACTGGCTGCAGTTAAATATTCAGAAAGCTTTACCACTTCCCATGTGATTTCATTCTCCAGCTTTACAGGAGCTAGGGTGAGAATAAAGTAAATATTTGATTGTATGGCACCTGTTTTCTGTAGTTTTCAGAACAAAGGTGACACACATTCCAATACATTCCTTAATATCAGCACTAAAAGGTATGCAGGTTTCTGCATCACCACAAGGAACTACTTTGTTTAAAATAAACAAACAAATAAATAAAAAATATCTCAGTATATCTTTAGGGAAAATCTTTCAAAGCACCTAATCACAGAATACCCATCTGGTATATCACAGGTGTTCTGTGAGTAGAATGAGGCTTTCATTATATATGACAGCCTATACAATAGATTTCACAAACTCCAAAATTAGCTGCATTTTACCATATGGGCTGGATTTTTCTTGTTTTTACTGGCATAGAGTCAGTTAAGAGTAAGTCTTGTAAACACAGTGTGAGATGAGAACTTGGCAATTACATTAATATAGAACTTTTTGGACAATGTGTTTAATCCTAGTGCTACATGTATATTATTCAAACAATTTTGCCAAGACTGTTTAAACAAGAGGTTAAGGAAAAGAAGATAAGAATACTTTATTCTTCATTATAAAAATAGTTTTTTTTTTTCCATGCACAAGCAAATAAAGTTCATCTGATTCTATTTCTTAATACGCTTTGCTACATTGCACTGTTCTTGTAATGTCACATGGATTTTTTTTTAATTGTATATTGAAATATTGACTATTTTGAGCACTATAGACTGAATATTATTTCCATAGCTCTTGCATCCCTAAGGACATTTATGTTATTGTTAGGTTCACAGAAAATTGATTCTCAATATAATACTCATCTACAAGATATTATATACAATTCCTCTCCTGGGCACTCTGAAGAAATACATTGCATATTGCCATACTGTAAGGTAGTTTTTAACTTTTCCTTTAACAAATAAGAACAAAAAAAGAATCAATGATTTTGCTGTAGCAAGCTTTTTTCCCTGTCACTTAAACAACCATAATACTTTTTGTGCTATAATTTCCTGCACTGAAATGCTCTCTTTCCTCATTTGAAGCACCATTCCTAACCCCCTCCTTTGGGTGCTGCACAGCCAAAAAGGCCCTTAAATTTCCATAGGTCAGCTTTGTTAGACTAAGGACAGAGTACCTCAGGCAGGCTTTTACCACATAACATTACTGCTACAGCATCTGTAATTTTTCTGTAATGTATACAACATTTACACATTGAACTATAACTTCCTTCATGCTGTCTTGAGATAGCAACATGCCTTATTCATAAGTTCATTTTTCTTGAGCAACACATTCTAGAAAGAAAAGAAAAACTGAATTTCATATCACATAGAACCAATATGTATATCCTTATATAAAAATATAACCTCCAAATGTATGCCCAGATAGAAAAGGATCTTAGCAAAAGAACTCTACTTTATTAATATTGTTATTAATTCAGATCAGAAAAAAAACTAGGATAGCAGTTCTGGAACCTCTTCTTGAACCTTTACTCAGTCAAGCTTTGTTATCTTGCATCTTCAAGGATTTATTCAACTGTAATTCCCAAGGAATTTAATATATTTTTTGAATAATTTATTTCAAAATTTGACTCTGATGTGCCTTTTTCTGGACAGTCAGCAGAGCACCATCCTGTACAAGTTCATTTCTCATTAAAGATAAATTTTAGAATTTTTTTTGATGAAGGAGAAAGAGGTAATGGTGGTCTCTCTCCACCTGTCATAAAAAATCTATACGATAATGCACTTGCCCAGGAAGTGTGAAATAGGTCATTCTCATTCTATGTCATTCCCAATATGACAGTGACTGAAACCCACCTATTCCACCTCCCAGGATGTTATGTAAAAGTTCATTAAATTCCTGAATAAATGTTCTCAGAACTAAGCTGTTGTTTAAAAAATTTCTTCAACAAAGTTGTCAGTGGCAATGCACCAGTGGATTTGAGGGAAATTCTTGTGAGTACAATGATTTGAGCTTTAATTCAGTGGTATTTTAATGTGTTATGTCAATTTAGAATATACTTGCCAGATTGCATTCTTCCAGGGACTATCTGAACAGTTAAATATGAGGTATGCAACTCAGCCCAGATAGCACAGCAATGAGTGATGCAGATTTCATTTCACAGTGATATAGCCAGTTACATTTATTTTCTAGTGAAACAGTCTTCTAGGGGCTCTTGAGAACATAACTGGATTGGTACTGTTTTGATAAGACTGAGGCAAAACTGGTCTGCCAAGGTTACAACCAAGGCACCTTACATGCTCCCTTGGATCTCACCCTAGAACCACCAGAACTGTACCAAAAATAGGTACAGCAAGGAAAAATTTCTCAATCACAAAGATTCGCTGTGATCAAGTACTTAAGTATCAATATTTACACTAGCTTTCCAAGATGGACAAATTTTTTTAATATCATGTAAGCTCTATTTCCACTTGTCATGATCTGTTAGAGAAATCAGTTTTGTGTTTATTTGGACTATTTTTTTTTTTAATTATGCCTCACTTGGAAACATTTATAGATATTCAGCTACTGTATGTACAGTAAGGTACTGTCATTACTCCCACTCTAGATAAGTTTTCATCAACAGTGTGTGAGACTTTAAAGTGTAACCAAAGGGAAGAAATAGGAATTAAGTAAAACAGAAAGCCACTTCCATTATATTTCCATTATATGATTCAGCTGAGTAAAACTGGACTAGAATTCACACCTTGCCACAGAATAATTTCATTCCTTGTGCTGAGCAAAGTGCCCACTGAGTCAAGTTTCTATTACTGTAGCCATGGCAATTCCTGTGTCAATGATCCAGCAAAATGGAATCCTCTCCTAAATACCATTTCCTAGAGAAAATAAGCATTTAAACAACAACAACAACAAGAAGAATATTTATACTGTCTGTTATAATTATGTCTGAACTGCCTGATTTCTTCTTTGATAACATCTACCTGTGAATATGTCTTTCTGTGAGGTTTTATGCTTGTTTATGTGTGATCAGCAGAAGATGTTGAAAGCAGCATTAAATACAAAGGAAATATCATAATGATCATTAGAAATAGTAAGGCTAATAACTGATGGTTGTTCTGACAAGGTCATAAGAAGCAAGGATCTCAGACATGAACATCATGTCAGCATGTCTTTATGCCTGTATTAGCGTAACCTTGGCAATATTAGGTCAGTCCTAGAAAGGTAGCTACAAAACATAGTGTTCTACATTTTACATGAAAAGAAAGACTGATGATGAATTAGAGAAATTAACAGAAAATTATTTTTTTTAGTAACCTAGTGCAGTAACATAAGACCAAATCTAATCTCACATATATGAGAAAGAATTGATTGGTTTTGGTGTGATTAGTTAGGGCACAACTATGGATTATATTTTAAAAAGTATTTAGATGATGAAGTTGCCCACTCATATACCAAATGCAATGATTTTTCAAAAATTGGAAACAGGTACATTTTTTTCATGAGCACAGAATCAACAGAACTGTAGAATCTCCCATTGCACTCATCCGTCTTCACAATTTTACAGTTAACAGTCAGAAAAAAGTCTAACACAGCACTTTGGAACAAAAAAAGTGACTGTCTCATAAAACATAGCTAGTGGGTCTATGTTGAGAGAAGCGAATACTATGCATTCTAACACTGACAGAATGTTTGTGTCATCAATACACCCCTCTAATTAGTAAATCGTACTTTAAGGAACGGCACTTCTGCCACAATTGTTGCTCTTCAGTCTTTAATGTGTCAGGGATGATTGGCAGTGAATGTTTTCACCACTTCCAAACAAATAGATTTTCTCCCTGAATATTTGTTGACTAAAGTAATGAAAATACCCGTGAGATATTTCTTTAAATGTAATATCAGAAGCCTCATTTAACCTCATGCTAAGTTAAATATTTCATTTTCCCATTTTTTTTTTTTTTATTTTTTCCAGGAATTTTACCGTTGTTAATTCAAAAATCATTGTTGTTACTATACGACCTGAGCCCAAAACAACAGATTCTTTCCTGGAGATAGAGCTGGCCCATCTGTCTAATGTAAGTACAAAGATAGCTGATATGCTCTTCCAAGAGTATTTATCAGACCGTATGAGAGAAAGCAGTGGGGTTGTTTTAAATATCAGGTAATAAAACCCAGTTTAACTGCTAAAACTTAAGCCCAGGAACACTCCAACGTACTTTGAAAGGAATGTGTACATGTTTCATGCTTGTGTATCCGCAGAACAAAATTAATTGTTGTTGTGTGAGTTTTGAAGTTATCATTGGAACAGCAATTTCTACCAAATCTCCAGTCTAACTGCTTTGAGGGAAACAATGGAAAATGTAGTATTGTACTGAATGCTTAACCTTTTGTTCCCTGCATAGGCCATAAAGCTATATAGTTCTTCAGGCCTTTTCTTCTTTTCTTTCATTATTTTATACTCAAAAGCTAGCTTTTACCTAACCTGTTGTTAGCAGACACTTAAAAAAAATGTTCTGGTTCCAATTTAGCTTACAACCCTAATAAATATTTGAGGTTTTTTTGTACAATTATTTTTAATTCTGTACGTTCCAGCCTTTAATCTCCTGTTAAAATTGTTTTAAATCTGAAAAAAAAAAAGGATTCTATGTACAACTGTATGAAAACTATTAACAGTTTTTCTTTCTGCTGTTAGCAATCTCCCAGCAGCCACAGGGAGAATAAAATATATCTTTTGCAAGAATTTTTTGTCATGTGTGATATTGGGGAAATAAATAACAAGCATGGGAGTACTTTATGTGAAGGCATGGCATATAAACTGTCTGTTTATGTTACCAAGAGTTAGAGTTTACTTTATTTAAAGTCATAAAAAGACAATTAGAAGAGATATAGTTACTAGAGCTTTAGTAAATAATGTTGTTAAGCAGAAGACTGTAAAGGTGTGATTTTTTGTTATAAACAGTTGCTCAGGTGGTCATGTAGGTACAATTCAGCTGGAAGAGTAGCAAATTTGGATTAGTGTCTCTGGGCAAAGGTATGAAAAAACCTCTTTGAACTCTAGATCTTTGACTTACACTTTATTCAAGGTTAGAAGAAACTAACTGTTGTGCCATCAATGGTCATTATGACCACTATTCAGTTCCCAGAAAAACGACATTACAAAGAACATCTCAGTGAAATTTACTGCAAAGTCAGGCAAAGAAAAAGAAAGGAATAGAGGAACACAAAGTGAGCTGACTCCTTACCTTTCAGTAAGATTAGAAGTTTACTGATGACAAAGAATGGAGGTTTTGGGGTTTATGGTTCTCTGTTTCTATTTAATTTTAAGATCTTTTAGCATGGGTAGGTTTGGTTTTTTGGTTTGGTTTGGTTTTTTTCCAACCTAAGTTACATCATATGTATTAAAAGAAAATACCGGTCTTTAACATAACTTTTGTTCCTCCCAGAAATTTAACTGAAAATGTAATAGGGTATTTGCTGAAGAAGACTACAAATTAATCCTATATAGCAGGGGAAAAAATCCGCCACCTTTGTAATAAAATACTTGTTTTGATCTTACTAAAATCATTATTAAGAAGAGGATAAGGTATTTCTCAATGCTAGATTTTAATTTCCATTATTTTAAAAAAGTGTGAAGCTACTTACATGAGTTGTAGATAAGGAATATTGGAGTATGACTTCTGTATTTTGAAATTGGAACTACTACTTGCAAAAGTGTTGAGTAGCAGGTAGAAAACAAATTAAAAAAATTTTAAAAAATTGGTATTAGTAAGCAACATGTCAGTGTTGAAAATACTTACAAGCTAAACAAAAGCTATTAAAGTCAGGCCAAGATAAGTAAGGCTAGACTAATGAAATGTTGAATTGCAGCCCCCACAAGCTGAAATTCTAGAATATTCTTAGACAGGGATTTTTTCAACTTTTTTTTTTTTTTTTAATCCATCCCTTTGAATAACTTACAGAGCAACTTTTTGCCAAGTTTCAAAATCTTGGAAATGAAATGAAACTTCATTGTTACAAAAGGTCAGTTTAAAAACACTGATTGTCACCTTGCTTTGTCAACCTTTCAGTAACAGAATATTAATAAGTATTGTTTTAGCTCATTTCTTGACAAAGCAAAAAGACAATAACCTTGCCAATAGATATCAGAGCCAATTTTTTTTTCTTTCACTCAGTTTTTGTCCTATAATTTAATACAGAGAAGTATCAAGTACTTGGAGCAAATTTCCAGTTCTTAAATTAGACTTACATACATCATACATTTATATAGGATCCCAATCCACCTGTGAGATGTGAGAGTTGGATGGGCAGATACAGTAACAAAATATTGCTCTAAAAAGTCTTAGAATGGAAACCAGTTTTATAATTTTAATATTTTTAAATGTTTGGTGATTTTTATGTTCCAGGCTTACGTTCCATAATGGGACTTTGGCTTAAAGAACTAAGGCTGTAGATGCATAGATATATTATTTTGTAGGTTTGGGTGCTTCTTGCCTTCAGATGGAATCTAATTCTAATCTTCTTTGTTATAATTTTCTTACTTGAAAACAAGAATTCATTTAAATATAAATATTACTATAGAGCATGCTTTATCTGTCACATGCAGAAAGATAAAACTGGTATTAATGTACCTTTAGTGTTTAAACATTATATAAGAATGACTCACAGATAAATCGTTATATCAATTAAATAGATTAATTATTAAATAGAAAATAAAATACAGACATTTCCTTTAATCTGATTTTTTTTAATGGCTCTTCATGTTGTTATTTTTGTTCTTTTCAAACCTTTGTTCTTTAAATGCTGATCATTACTCAGAACAGTTTGTTTCCAAATTGATTTAATGACTAATTTTTACACAATCTCTAGAACATGCCTACTAATATATAGGAATAGACCCACACATTTGTTCTTTTACCCCCCCATCCACTGAGTGGATAAAAGATTATATAATCATAGAATCATTTGGTTGGAAAAGACCTTTAAGGTCATTGAGCCGAACTGTACTTGTCCACTACCAAACCATGTCTCTAAGCACCTAAGTCTACCCATCTTTTAAATACCTCCATGGACGATGACTTGACTGTTTCCCTGTGAAGAAATTTTTCCTAATATCCAATCTAAACCTCCCCTGGCACAACTTGAGGCCATTTCCCCTCATCCTGTTGCTTGTTGCCTGGGAGAAGAGACCAAAACCCACCTCACTACAACCTCCTGTCAGGCAGTTGTAGAGGGTGATAAGGTCTCCCCTCAGCCTCCTTTTCTCCAGGCTAAACAACCCCAGATGCCTCAGCTACTTCTCATAAGACCTGTGCTCCACATCCCTCACCAGCTTCATTGCCCTTCTCTGGACACACTCCAGTGCCTCAATGGCCTTTTTGTAGTGAGGGGCCAAAAACTGAACACAGAATTCAAGGTGCGGCCTCACCAGTGCAGAGTACAGGGGCACAATCACTTCCCTACTCCTGCTGGCCACACTGTTCCTGATACAAGCCAGGATACCATTGGCCAGCTTGGCCAACTGGGCACACTGCTGGGTCATAATCAGACAGCTGTCAACCAGTACCCGCAGGTCTTTTTCTGCCACACAGATTTCCAGCCACTCTTCCCCAAGCCTGTAGCATTGCATGGGGTTGTTGTGACCCAAGTGCAAGGCCTGGCACTTGGCCTTGTAGAATCTCATACAACTGGCCTCAGCCTATTGATCCAGCCTATGCCAGTCCTTCTGGAGGGCCTTCCTACCCTCAAATAGATCAACACTCCCACCCAGTTTGGTGTCATTTGCAAAATTGCTGAGGGTACACTCAATCCCCTCATCCAGGTCATTGATAAATATGTTGAACAGAACTGCTCCCAACACTGAGTCCTGGGAAACACCACTTGTGACTGGCCGCCAACTGGATTTAACTCCATTCACCACCACCCTTTGGGCCCGGCTATCCAGCCAGTTTTTTACCCAGCAAAAAGTATGCTTGTCCACACCATGGGCAGCCAGTTTGTCCAGGAGAATTCTGTGAGAAATGGTGTCAAAGGCTTTACTGAAGTCCAGGTAGCCAACACCCACAGCCTTTCCGTCATCCACTAAGGAGGTCAGCTTAGTCAAGCAGGATTTGCCATTCATAAACCCATGTTGACTGGGCCTGATCTTCTGATTGTTCTGGAAAAAGATGGGCAAATGTGATAATTTAATAAGTGTTAATATGTTTAATTCAAATTACCCTTTAAGTATTCATTTATCCAAAATTTATCATCATTGCTTCAGTTTATATCAAAATTACCAGTTTATTAATAAAACCAGAGGATTATTTTGTGGAGGAAATGTAAGTCACAATAACATGTGCTGTTCAGAATTTAGCACGGTATTTGGATTTGTAGGAAAATTAAAATATAATAGACAGTTGACCACAGTGAGAATGTGGGTTGCAATGAATTAGTGAGAGAATGATATTTGGTCACATTTTTCCAGTAGTTTGATTAAAGAGACACCTAAAGCGATCTTTTAAAAACTGCACAACTCAAACAAAATCCTATTTGCTCGAGCGAGAATATGAACTCTCACCTTCTGACAGCACAGAAGTTTACTCCAGGGACACTAAAGTAATGAGTCAGCAGTAGCATGGGACATCATCAAGCTTTCAATGAGGCTGAAAACCCTGGCTACAAAACACAGCTGGCATCATGCTGCATTGCTGTCAAAATTGCCAATCACATCTCACAAGTTCAGTTTTATATTCCAGGCAGATATATATATACATACACACTCACACACATATGACTTTTTTCATCCTATCCAGGTCCTGTATAAATCAATGCTGCAACAGTTGTAAACATCAGTGGACACAGTAGTGGCTTCCTTAGCTGCAGCTAAGTAATTAACTGGCAAGAGCTGTGATGAAAGTTCGCTGCTCTCACAGAGAGCGACAGCTGTTGGAGGTAGCTCAATGACAGCAGCATGAGGAGACATTGCCAGGAGGCCAGACCCAGAAAGACTGTGAAAAAGGGAGTGACATGTTAAGGGTGAAGAAGAAAACAGGAAGACAGGCTTCTTGTGGTCCTTGCAATGCTTGAAGGGTGTTTGATCTGGATATCAAAAGAGGAAGAAGTTCTGAAAGGCTGCTATGCCCTTGTGCGCTGCTATGCCTGGCAGAGCCAACCCTCACGCAAGACCTTCTTAAGGAATGGGAGAAATATTTACCCTGCTTTCCATGTTTCTGCTTAATCTCTCAGTGACTGCAATAGTCAAACATACTCTTTAGTTTTTTAATTTGAATACATTTCAAAGAGAGTGAAGTGTGTGATCTGACAGCAGCAGTTTTTATTGGATTTCAGCTTTCTGCAAAGGCTTTTATTTCCCTCTATTTTGTAGATTTTTTTATAATGGACATTGTTTCTCAAAGTGTTTTTGTATTCTTTCTACTTGCACTGTGGGAATAACAAGCATAAACTGTATGATATCTACTGCTAGGAAAGACAGGTCTCAGATCTCAAATATTCAATGTCTTAACACAATCCAGCTATAGGAGTACTTTTTAATATGCATATAACTATATCAGATTGCAAGTAGAATTTCTTCACCCATTCTTAGGATAGAAATACTTTTTATAAAATGAAATTTTTTAAAAAGACTAATTTTGCAGTGTCATTCCATTGTTCTTAATTCTTACTCTTCTGTATTTTTTTTCTGTCAATATATCTGAAAGCTTTGGACTCATGATGCAGGACCTGGTCTCTGAATCTCAATGGGCCTGTTATCCAGTTCTTTGTCCTGTGCCCTCCTGCCGTTCCTCTTCTTTTATTAGAAATACTTCAGGGAATGGAACATCCTTTATTTATGTTTGTACAGTGCTATGTTAATATAAAACACCATAAGAATATGTTGGTTTTAAATATTTATACTCATAAAATTCAATGCAGTCAGCAAAATGCTAAAGTAGAGGATCAAAATTTCCCTAAATGCCTCTCTTGCAAGCATCTTCAGAAGGACCTTGTTTATCTTTGACAAAGAGGTGGATGGAATAATTTAAATATTTAATAGATTTTTACTTCACAGGCTGCCGTGTTTTTTCTATAAATAAAACACTTTTCAGAAGGAAATATCAAGGTGTGTTTGTCTATATGTGTATGTCTATATCTTTATATCTACTGCACCAACACTGTTCATGAGAGAACTACACTAATGTTGACATAAGAAAATAGTGTATTCCACCCTTTTCTTCAAATCACTTATGATTTTGTTAAAAATGTATTCTTATTCTGTATTTTATATCTAATTTATTTATATAATTCTGACTTCTGGGAATATCCAATGTTTATGATGAACAGGAATACAATTTGGGAGGTTTTAGCCAGTTAAGAACTTCTAAGTCAATATGAGTTTTGGTAAAGGAAGATTAAGAAGATTAGAGACAAAACTTGGATTTTAATTTTGTCTCAACACCTCTTTGGCAGAAAAATAAACATTTCAATTTCCCCAAACATTACCCACAGTTTAATAATGTGTAACAAACCTAGATTTCCGTCTTGTTAATCAAATCAGAAATCTTCCACTGACTTTGAAGAGGTTGGAGCTGGGATTGTGACGCTCAAGAAAAAAAAATATTTTGCACAGAAATCTCTGCTGATTTAGGACCTGATTCACAAAGGGACTTGGGTATGGAATGTGGGGTCATCTGAAATCCCAGTCTCCAAACATTTTGCCCAACATATGCTTAAAAGTTTTAAATGCGTTACTGGTTTTGAAATCCAAGTTCCTGAGGGCCCTAAAGTTCTGCTTCTGTTTAAGACCCAGAAATGTTCCATCAAGTCAAGTCCCTTAATAGATTAACTCTTATCTCATATTTCAATTCTACTAAGATATACCAGATAGATAATTTACCTTTTCTAAGAGAGATGATACAATAAATACTCTGGTTTGAGGTTCAAGTGCCTTTAAAATATTCTGTACGAATTAACCTTAAGCTTCTGCAATTTCAGTGGCACCAGTTTGTCAGAGTATAAGTGTGACTTTGTAGGAGGAGACCCAAAGAAACGTTTAGGTCAAGCATGACATATTTTTTTGTATAACTGTAACTAATAGGTTTGTGTGTTTTCTTCTTAGGGCACACTGAACCCCTACTGCGTGCTGTGGGATGATTCAAGAACGTAAGTGACAGATGTTTGCTTCTATTGCTATGGTTCAAATATTACAAAGTACCAAACAATATTTAAGTAGTTGGTCAGTAAACGGGTTGGTATGAGGGCAGGGAAAATGAACATTTCGCAGAGTGAAAGTATTGGATTCTTCAGGCACTTGCCTTCCTTTCTGCACCTCTGTAAATTGAAATAATACAATATCTCACCAGGAGGAGATTACTCACATAGTATTTTTAATCTGCTTTTTCAAGATTAAAATGAGGTTGTCTAAGAACTGTAGTTCCTTGATCGTAGTTGCTGAGCAACAAGCAAGTGGGTAAACAATCAGACAGATAACTAGGGAAGGCTCCCATTTCTGTTACTGCAGGGAGAAATATAATTTTCAAGTGTGATACCCATGCAATCTTCGTTTTAGTTGGTGCAAATTTTCATTTTACTTTAGTAAAATAATAACTGTGCACTAAATAGTGAAAGCTTGCTAGCAGTCTTCTGTTAATTTTTTCAGTGTGTGTCCCTGCAGCAAAACAAAATGTAGCTGTAAAGAAGTAGAGCAGTAAAATCAGTGTGGTTTAAAAAGAATTCCAAGTTTATGCAGTTGTAATTTGCTGCATTAACCTTTCACAGTAAATTTCCCATTAAAGTCAAGGTGAACTTTGCCTAAATACAGATTAAGTGTTTCAAGAAGGATCCCTACATAGTTGCCATATTAATTTTTTTAAAGATTATGTTGTACTTCTTGTCCAGGAATATTATGTATGTCCTATACTACAGACTCATCTACAGTGTTAGAAATTGTATGCCTGTGATTTTGTGAGTGCTTTTGTCCTTGAGCCTGGGTTTATATCAGTACACTGGTGGCTAAGAAACAACATTATGGTATAGAAATGAGAAACTTTGGTTATACTAGGTACTGCTGGCTTTGATGGATTAATAGCCTCATCCACATTGCAAATCCTACAGAGCTGTGCTGTGCTCTTGTTCTTCCAAACTGGGTAATTTTTGTATAACCAGGATTTGGCAAGCATTTTGGAATAAACCCAACAAAAAGTAGTCTGCTTTTAGTTGAATGTATTTAACTAATTAGTAGTCTATGCTGAGACAGGTGTTTTAAATTAAGTGCTTTTCAGATGAAAATGTTGTTTGCTTTTATCATCGGCATACAGCCAGCGGTAACCTCTAATGGGTTTTGTAACCTTTTTAGCCGCTTCTCCCACATCTTTATCTGCATGCATAGCAAGTTCACATTTGGTAAATGATACTTCCTCCACTGATCTTGTCAGTTTAATACTCCTCCAACACCAGGGGAAGCTTTGTCTATCTGGGTTTTGGGCATGCTTCTCAGGAGATTGATCAGTGATTAACAGTTCCCTGTCATCCATCCTTGAAGAAAGTTCTGGATCTGTGAGCTGTTTAATTACACCAGATCATCAAACCTATCCTACTGCCATTGCTGTCTGTGACAATTAGGTCATCCTAACACTGTCAAAAGCAGTTTTAATCCATTCTTTCTATGAGATTCAGTGATTCTTTCCTGTGTTGATATTTTATCAGGTTTTCCTTTATCAAGCTGGCAGGCTTGTACCCTCTCTGCAGGCAGCTAGTCAAATGTGTGTACAATATTGAGACAGTGCAACTAAAGAATAGAATATTATGTCATGAATTACAAAAGGCAAATTCAAATCCAATAATTCAGTATTTTATTTCAGTTGATTCTCCCAAAACATAGACCACATCTGTCTCTGTTGATTGAAACCAGGCTGTTTTTAGCATCAATGGTATGAACGCAGTGATTTTTTTCTCCCTCAGAAATCTGACTGGTATCTTCATCCTTCCATTTCAGAAAATGTATTCTAAATGTTGCCTTCGGTAAAGTCTTAGGATACTGAATGTTTCTCCTTTCAGTGCATGGGAAAATGGGCAGAATCTTTGTAATTGATGTTATGAGGAGAAACAATTTAGTTCCTTAAACCAACCAACCAAAAACCTCAAATAAGAGTTGTATCTTTTCTGCTTTGCATTACCTGGCATGAACAAACTATCCATGCTGTCAGGAACTGTTTGTGATACATTAATTCCAGTGTCTCTGTCCCCAAAGAGAAAGAAAAGAAGTTGGTCAGGTACTAGGGCTGACTTTCCCACCCCACAGAAGTGATTTTAAATATTTTAAGGTGAAACCAAACTTCTGAAAGTTTTTCTCCTGTCCCTCCTACCTTTCTGGAAACAAAAAGAAGGGGGAGGGTGACAGCAGAGACAGTCTCAACCAGCAAGTAATCCAATGGTTAGAGCATTTACTTGGGGACCGCAGGGACCAGCCCTTCGATTTTTTTCTTTACAGAGGTTACCTGAGGAGTTTGAAACACACTTTTCAGCCTCACAGGAAAAGCCCATGCCCGCTGAACTGTTGGCTCCTCTGTAGTGTATTACTCACTATGTGTCCTGCTGGAATACTGCCATATTATTTAGAAAAATATTCATGGTTGGGGAGCTGATTCCTGACACCTCTATATTTAATTTTACCAGTCTTTCCATGTGTTTGTCACTATGCCACATCTAAATCTTAGCCATATCACTGTCAGTGCTTTTTTCCTAGAGCTGTTTTGCTTTATGTAAGCCTGGGCAAGGCTATATAAGCCTGGGGGATCAAAGAACCCTTGTATGCATGCATACATTTCCATTCTAAAAATGCCATTTACTGTGGCAGTTTTGTAGGTTGTCTGAACAGTTCTCTTGAGCTTTGTTGCCTTCTCTGATGCTTGTATCTGTGATAGGGGCCATAACAGACAGTCTGAATGGAGCTCTAGCATCCATGAAAGTTTGGCCTGACAAAGTTAATCACTCCTCTTAGTGGACCCAGCCCCTCGACCTCTTGAACCAGTGTTCAGGATTCAAAACACAGTAAAAGGCTGGCATCCTGGCAGCTAGGTGCCACAGTACTGAGCATCACAAGTACTTCCCTCACATGCAACCCTCGGCTAACACCATCACGATGATGGTGTGGAAGATGGGGTGGACATGGTAGGTCACTTGAAGAAGGTGTCATCTCACATGGGAGTCATGGATTAGCAAAACAATGCAGCTCGTGTTTATTCCTGTAGAAATGTGCTGGACATAATGTGGACACACGTGCGCTCCACAGGACAGTGTCAGTTGTTGCTGGCATGCTCTACAGCTGTACACGGTGCAACATGATGTCTCACTAGGTAAGGAAAGAGCTTTAGCACTCTGGGTCTCTTTTCTGTCAGCTGTTGCAGAAGAATGTTCTAACAGTATGGCAGCTTTTTATTTGTTCATATGTGTGCTCATAGCAATTTGTGCCTGATGAATATACAGTTGGCAGAAGGACAATGCAATTAACTGAATACTGCAAGGATTTTGACCTGGTTCAGCTTTAGTTTAGGGCAAGTGCTAGGTCTGCTCTATTTTTTTTTTTTTTTACATTGTCATTCAAATGTACATTTACAGTGGTTTAGATTTTCTGCCCTGAAGCTATGTGAAACTACAAATACCTATATAAGAGAAATGAGAAATTGTATACATTTATATAACTTCAGGATTTCACTCCAGACACATTATAATATCCTTCATTCAAAAAAGTTTGCAATTATTTTTTCTAATTATCCACTAGAGCTTTTAATTATTTTTCTCCTATTGTCCCTGGATACAATTGTGGAGAAATAGTCCGTAAAGGAATTTGTTCAATGCAACTGAAGAAGAGTCTACCAGGTGATGGTGATTTTCTCACAGGTTTGCCTATAGGTGCAACTCAGCTTTAGGATATAGGCTTGCATGTATACCAGCAAAACAATTTTTGCATTTTGTTGCCTTGTGATAAAATAGACAGGAAACACTGATCTGCTTTGTCTTTCTCCTCTCCCCTTTGTTTTTTAAAACTGCCATGAAGGACCATTACAGTTATTGTTTGTTTGGCCTGGCCTTGCAAGCCTTTGAAAATATGTTCAAGACGACTATTTATAACTCACTGCAAAATGTCTCAAGCTAATCATCAAATAATTAGAATACCTTACATCAGAATTTGCTTCTGGAAATGTAAATAGTAGCCTCTCCTTACTTTATGTTACTTTACAGTAATGTTATTTTTTTCACCAGGAAGATATGGAGGAAATAGATTTTTCTATAACTAGAATAAAAATTGAATGAGAGTAATTCATGTAAGTATAGTTTGGCAATATATGCCAGCTGAAGCCTTGCTTGTTCTGTTGAATTCAGTCAGACTTGTTGGCCCAGCTTTTCAGTCAGACTTTGCTTCTTTCATATTTTTCAAGGCAGAAAATTTACTTTCCATGCTAGCTTCTGTGCTTCTATTCATGAATGTAATGGAAGAGGTAACATTAATGAACTTATTCAATAGATAAATGCTTCCTGGAGTGCCTACTTTTATGAAGAACTTTCATCATGGAACCTATGTAATAGCACACTACATAATCTTCTGTTCCTGGTAGTCTTGCATAAAGAATTGAAAGACTCATGGAATCATATTCTTTTTCATTAAAACAATATGGAATGAAAAACATGATCCAAACTCCCTTGCAGGCAAGCAAAAGGCTTTGACTGATTTGAATCAAATCAGATCAAATGGCAAACCACTGCTCAAACCATGCAAGACCCAAATATAAAAATTTTAAATTTGTAAACTGCTAAGATTGATTATACTGTAATGCAGGGGTACTTAGTTCTGAAATATTGTACAATATAAAATGGAGTGCCTTTATGTGGAAAAAGAGTCAGACCAAAATTTTCTTTGCTTAAGTCATACACAAAATGAATCAGTATATATGGGAGGAATTTATAATTTAGTTCTTTTTCATAACACTGCTCTTCACTAACACCTACATGGCCATGAACAGAGCTTACATGGCCTGCTGAGATTTATAGCAAAAGAAGGAAATCAAATTAATCCTTGCTAATAAGTTCACTTTCTTTTTAATTTTTACTGGGTGATTAATCAACTCCATTTGTTGAGAACTCAATTGCTATTTATTGCCTTTATG